TATTTATCTTCATTTCTCTGGGTATAGTTATCGTGATTACTACTACTACTACTATTTCTATTAATTAATACTATTACCCTTACTACAAATACTCCAGTTACAACTACTGCTACTACTACATACTCCTACTCCCATTAACTCCTTACTTAAACTCTCCCTCCCTTGTTCTCTCTCTCTCTCTCTACTTCTCTCCATCCCCCCTCCCTCCCTCTGTCCCTCTCTCTCTACATCTCCATCTCCCTCCCTCCTTCTGTCCCTCTCTCTCTACATCTCCATCTCCCTCCCTCCTTCTGTCCCTCTCTCTCTACATCTCCATCTCCCTCCCTCCTTCTGTCCCTCTCTCTCTACATCTCCATCTCCCTCCCTCTTCTGTCCCTCTCTCTACATATCTCTCTCCTCATCTCCCTCTCCTCCCTTCTGTCCCTCTTCTCTACATCTCCATCTCTCCCGTCACTCTCCTCCCGCACTCTCTCCTTCCCTCTTTCCCTCCTTCTCTACCTTTCACCCTTCCTTCCCTCCTTCTCCCGCTCCCTCCCTCCCTGCTTTTATCTCAGTCTCTATCTCCCTTCCTCCTTTCTTCTTTCCCTCTCCCCTTCCCTCTTTCCCTCTCTCCTTTCCTTCCTCCCTTCCACCTTCTTTTCCCCCCTCCCTCTGTCCCTCCCTCTCTCCCTCTCTCCTTCCCTCTTCCTCCCTCTCTCCCTCTGTCCCTCCTCTTCCTCCCTCTTCTCCCTTGTCCTCCCTCTCTCCCTCTGTCCCTCCCTCTTCCTCCCTCTCTCCCTCTGTCCCTCCCTCTTGCCCCTCCCCCTCTTCCTCCCTCTCTCGCCTCTCTCCCCCCTCCCTCTCCTCCCCTCTCTCCCTCTGTCCTCCCTCTTCCTCCCTCTCTCCTCTGTCCTCCCTCTTCCTCCCTCTCTCCCTCTTCCTCCCTCTCTCCCTGTCCCACCCTCTTCCTCCCGTCTCTCCCTCTGTCCCTCAATCTCTCCCTCTTCCTCCCTCTCTCTGAAACCTTAATTCTCAACATCTTCCTCAGATCCGAAACGGAGACAGCGACTCATCACCCTTCCTTGGCGCCGGGAAATTCTGCGGCACTGCTACTCCTCAGGTCACGGAGTCATCCTCGAACATACTACTTCTAAAGTTCTTTTCGGACGTCACTGACGGGATATATATATATATATATATATATATATATATATATATATATATATATATATATATATATATAATATATACACATACATAAACATAAACATAAACATAACATATACATACAACATACATAAACATATACATACATACATACATACATACATTATAAATATATATATATAATATATATATATATATATATATATATATATATATATATATATATATATATATTACTATATACATTATATATACATATATAACATATATACATATATACATATATATACATATATATATGTATATATGTATGTATATATATATATATATATTATATTATATATATATATATATATATATATAATATATATATTAACATACATATATATAATATATAAACATATACATAGATATAAATATGAATATATAAACATATACATATATACATATATATATACATATATACATATATACATATATACATATATATATATATATATATATATATATATATATATATATATATATATATATACTAAGCATCGCACGTTCAACACGATAATGAACAAACACAGACACAAAATGAGAATTTCACAAAGACCTATTGATTTGAAATCTAATTAAATCAAGCCTAAATCTGCAATCAATCCATCTCTCGGCAGCTCACAGAACCTTCTTTTCCTCCTCCTTTCCACGCAGGGCTTTAAATTACGATACTACGAGGTAGCTGACGCGTGCGGAGGCAACCACAGGCTAACAGCTGACTTGAATCGCCTCACAGTGATGTCACCAAACTATCCAAACTCACCTGATCCTTATACCGAGTGCGCCTGGGTAATTCTTGCTCCGGCCGGGAAGGCTATTTCGCTCCACTTCGAAGGGCAATTTGATATCACTACGTTAGAGTAAGTAGGGGATTTTTCTTGATGTGTTTATCTGTTGTTGTTTTTTTCCTTTCTCTCTCTCTCTCTCTCTCTCTCTCTCTCTCTCTCTCTCTCTCTCTCTCTCTCTCTCTCTCTCTCTCTCTTTCTCTTTTCCCTTTCTTTCTCTTTCTCTCTTCTCTCTCTCTCTCTTTCTCTCCTCTCTTTTCTTTTCTCTCTCCTCTTTTCTCTTCTCTCCTCTCTTTCTTCTCTCTTTCTCTCTCTCTTTTTCTCTTCTCTCTCGTCTCTTTTCTCCTTTCTCTCTCTCTCTCTTTCTCTCTCTTTCTCTCTCTTCTCTCTCTCTTTCTCTTTCTTCTCTCTTTCTCTCTTCTCTCACTCTCTTCTTCTCTCTTTCTCTCTCTCTTCTCTCTCTTTCTCTCCTCCTCTTTCTCTCTCCTTTCTCTCTTCCTCTCTCTCTCTCTCTTCTCTCTCTC